TTGGAAGAAAAAGGGAAATAGCAATCGTTCACATGTCTTGACATTCTGGCCACATATTTTGGTAAGCTTTAAATCTGAAGTTTTCATATTTGATTCTTCTTAATATTTTTTTATAACACTAGGAAACAATTTCAAATATCTTGTGGACTTGATATTCGAGTTTTAGGTTTATGAAAAAGGTTTTTTATTACAAACATTATTTTATGCATTTATGTAAGTCAGTAAATAATAATATTTGAGAGATATTTTAGGAAATAATTTTTTAATCTAGTGTAAAAACTATTTTTTTTTAAAAGTAAAACTCGATGTTGGACGAGCTTTTGGAGAAAATGAATGAAAACCAAGTAAAAATGATGAGTTTTTTTGCATAATTTTGACAATGAAGACCAACTTGATATAAATTGAATGATCAGTGGCTTGTATTGCAATTACAACGGATATGAGCTAACTAAAAGAAAGAAACCAAGAAACAAATTGGACTGAATAAAGGTTGAATCATGCGATCGCATTGGCTATGTTTGGCAAAAGTAGATTTCAATATAGTTGTGCCATGCGATCGCAATGATGTATATACCATATGATCACATGGTGTATATTACCCCTTGTTTGAGCCTCATTTTAGGAAAAAAAATGTATTCGGAGTAGCAAGTTTTTTGAGAATACGTGATTAAAAATAAGAAAAAATTCGGTTTACTTATAAAATTATTTTATTGAAGAATGTGTATTTGAAAACAAGTTTTTTTTTTTTTTAAAAAAAGAGTTTTTTAAAAAATGTTGCTCAAACAAGGGAAAATCAATGAAATTGAATGTGTTTCTTGTTCTTTTAACTTTTCAAAATGCTTTTAGCTACTCTAAACTTGATCCAACATTATTTTATTTTTAGTGCCATATGTTATGAATAAAGCAAGATAATTTTAAGATGAAATAAGCCAATCACTGACAAGAATGTCAAGATTTTACGTGAAAATCTAATATGGAAAAAAATCATGGACCGAAGAGGAAAATTAACTAGATCAAAATCAAGATAAATGATTGTTGTTACAAGATTTGTTGCACTTTCAACTAAATCTAAT